GCACCGCCGCACGTGTCTTTTCGCCATCCGTCCCTTTTCTCCATCCAGTTTTTCCCCCCTCCCGCTGTCTCCTGCCCGGTATCTCCGGCTGTGGAGGAACAAGAAGGCTTTCTCCTTTGCAGCTGTTTCCCCCCCTCCGCCAGCGGCGGCTGCAGCTGGGATGGCCCCTGATCTGCAGCTCTCAGGGGGGGGAACGGAGAAGCCCGAGGTCTTTGTTTTCTCCCCGGCCGGATGGGGCCACGCGGTCTCAGGGCTCTCAGCCCGGTGTCCCGCTCCACCGGGGAGAGGGGGGGACGCAGTGGGCGACCGGCGGCGGACGCACCTCTGCGGTTCCTGAGCATCCTGCGCCGCTCTCCCTGCAGGTTGGGACCAACGGGGTCATCTCCACCCAGGATTTCCCCAGGGAGACCCAGTACGTGGATGACGATTTCCCCACAGACTTCCCCGTCGTCGCTCCCTTCTTGGCCGACCTCGACACCTCCGGTGACAGAGGGAACATCTACTACCGGCAAGACAACTCTCCGGATGTGCTGGACCAGGCCGCGGGCTACATCCAGGCTGGGTTCCCCCGCACCGCCGGCTCCTTCGTGCCCACCAACGCGTTTGTTGCCACCTGGGAAGACGTGGGCGCCTACCAGGAGCTCTCGCAGGACACCGAGCCCTCCAAGAAGGTGAGGCCAATGGGCTGAGGTTGGACGCCCATCCTACGTGTCGCGGGAGGATGAGTCTTCCTTGCGTAGCACCCAAAACGCTCGGTCTCTTCTTTCTGGGCAGCTGGATGGTGGGTCCAGCCTTGGACGAGCGTTGGGGGAGACGTGGAGCTTCTCGTCTCCGCTCAGAGCTGCGGCGTTGGAGGGTCTGTTGGCTTTGCTGATGGGCAGAAGAGGTTTAGAGGTTGCCTTCAACTTCACGGTCGGAGGTGCTCAGGCTTCTCCCTGCTTCTCAGGCAAAGCTTTGTGGTGCCGGTGGTCCTGCATTTGCAGAGCAGGGCTGGGCCGGGGGAAGCCGCGGCCCAGGTCACCCATCGGGCTCCAGACCTTTTGCTGGTGGCTTGAGGCTGGTCCTTCCTTCTGTCCGCACGTTGCTTAACGCTGCCAGCTTCAGAGTTTCCATCATGGGTTGATTTTGTGCCTGGAAAACAAGCGTGTAGGTGGTCCACTGGGTCAGGGAGGTGACCTGTGCTTTCCACCCACGGGCTGATAAGGCTCCTGTGTGGGTGTATCCTGGTGGACCTACAGCGCTGCCTTTCCCCGAAAAACCGCTATGTGCTGCTGGGGCCGGAGCCGTCACATTAGGCTGCTGACGTGCCGAGGAGGTGACGGTGATGCTCTGCCGGCAGGACGGGCTTCTTGAAACGAGCTGAAAGATGAAGAGCTGCAAGAGGAAAACTCTTGTGATGAATACCCAGAGCTGTGCAACGGGTGACAGGCTCTTGCTGCCATGGGGTGGGCTGACTCCAAAACCCATCAGTGGCCACTGGGTCCCCACGGGCCACCGGGAGCCGTCCCTGCCGGCCGTCCCCCCGCTCCGGGGCCCTTCAGTAGCGGATTGCTGAGAGCAGTGGCCAAGCAGGGGAAGAAACCGAGGTTTGGAAGGAAACAACGCACATTTTTTCCTCTAATTTAAAACTTGGGAAAGCAGCTGAAGAGATGCCATCAGGGGCCTCGCAGCGACCTCGCAGCCATCAAAAACGCAGCCTCCTCTTCTCTTCCCAATTGTTTTTTTTTTCCTTCTCTGAGTAGTTGGATCAGGTTTTAAAATGAAACCGGACTTGCTTGGAGACGAGCGGCTCCAGGGAACATTTCATTCAAGATGTACTGCAATGCAGCTTGTGCCTGGGCTTTGCTGAACTCCCCCTTAACCAAAACTGCTAAAAAACTCCCCAAACGCCACTTTTTTCCTTACCAAATATGCCATTTATTGAAACACTGCCCTCCCGCTTCTCAGAACCAGCATTGACCTTGAAGCCTTTACCCCCCATCTTTGGAGAGGTTCATCCTTTTTGAGCCTCAAAAGCAGAAATCTGGGTTAAGGCTGGGGGGGGTTTGAGGCTCCCCAATCCCCTGCCTTGGGGGTCCTGCGTGGCCAGGAGGTCTGGCAGCGCTGCCGGCAGCCCCCTGTCCCCTCCGTCTCCTTGGGGACACGCTCTTAGTCCCCGCAGTGACACTTTCCAGGGCTGGGACGAGAGCTGACCCTGCTTCTGCGGGAGCAAAAATTGTCCTTTGGGCTGGAATTTGCCCTTTGCAGCTCCTTGCCGGGAGCAGCCGGCCACAAGCCGGGGCTGCCCCCCCCTCCTTCGCTTTCTGCCCTGCGTCCCATGATGCCAGCGCATCGGTGTCACCCACCACCGGGTCCCCCCCTTCGCCGCCCACCGCAAGGCAAAAAGAGTCTTGCAGCTGCCACAGCAATTCGGCTGCGTGGGGGAAGGAATCTGGCCCTGGGGGGGGGTTATCCTCCCCCCAAACTTTTTGGCCGCCTTCGCACGGGGTCTCTGAATGCCCGAGTGTGCGATGCGCACAACAAGGCTCTTTATATCCCACGGGGCCGACGGGAAACCCTGTGATGCCCCGGGGGCCCTGCGCCCCAAAATTGGGGCTGGCGCTGCAGGGACAGGCAGGGCTGGGTGGGGGGGGGGGGTGGGGAGAGCCCCCCCCCCCTTCTGCCCGCTGCTCTGGGGGTGAAACCGGGAGTTTAATCATTTTTCCTTCGCTTGGTCACTGTTCCCCACTTGCTGCTGCCGGCAGCTCGTGGGGAAGGGTTGCTGCTGTGTGCTTATATTTATTTATTCGGAGAGCAGGACCTATGTGGGGTGGGGTGGGGGGGCTGGCCCAAATGCCGCAAGCGTTGGTTTCTCTGCATTCGAGGTGACCGTGATGCTCGTGGGGATTCTCCGGTGGCTCGTAAGGGTTGTGCTCACTCCGCAGCCTGCCCGTCCGTGGGTTATTGCAGCGGTCCCGCTCCCTGAGCAGCCTCGCTCGGGGCTGGCGCGGTCCCAAGGCTCGCAGGGCTGGCACGGCAGGCAGCCAGCGTGCCTATAGCGGGACGTATGGGTGTGGGGAAGGCGGGAGCACGTGCATGTTTTTTCCTGAGGAAACCAAGCTAAAATTGTTCTCGGGGGGGGAAGCGGGGAAGTGCAGGTTTTCCTCCGGTGCTGATGGGATGGAGGGGGGCTTGCTGGTGTGAGGGGCAGGATGGGAGCGAGGGGTTCCCGGGCTGCAGCACGCCAAACCAGTGCGTGGGTTACATGGCCTGGGATGCTCCTGGGCATGGGACAGGGCTGTCACCTCCCTGTGTGACAGCTCCAAGGGACACTCCTGCACCGATGCAGCTGAGAGGCGGTGTCCTGGCTTTGTCACGGGCTCCCGTGGAGGATGCTGAGCAACTTCCCCGCACGTTGCACTGGGGTTTGGCCATGCACGAGCAGCCCCTGCTCCTGTTCTTCCCCAGGAGTTGTCTCCAGGCCGATGGAGGGTTCTTTTGGGGTGCTTATGTGCACTGCTGTGTGCGGGGAGGTGGCTGTGGCATCCCCGGTCCCCTTCCCTGTCTCGGTCCTCTGCTGGGATCCTGCCCCTCCATGACGTCCGTCTGTCCTGCTCTCCTTTTGGCAGCTCAACACCTTCCAGGCGGTCATAGCCTACGATGATGAGGACACTTACGCCATCTTCCTCTACCCCGACGGTGGCCTCCAGTTCCTGGGGACACGGCCCAAAGAATCCTACAACGTCCAGCTGGAGCTGCCAGCCAGGGTGGGCTTCAGCCGGGGGGACGGCGACGATCCGAAGAGGGACGGGCTTTTCCACAGCCTGGCCAGCAGTGAGCAGGCTTTGAGGCACCTGGAGCGGTGCGTGGTACCGGGGGGGCTGTGCGGGGCAGGCAGGGGGAGCAGGGTCACCTTCTCCCAGCCCCCAGAGCCTTTTAAAGGCTGGAAGAATCAGGGGAGCAAGTTGGGGGTGATGGGCTGAATCGGGGGGCTCAGCCCCACGTGCACGGGAGCTGCATTTGGGGTCCTGGGAGGGGTGGTGTGAAGCGGGGTCGGTACCTTTGGGGTGGGTTTCCCACCGTGGCTGTGATGGACGTACATGCGTGCTGCTGTCCTGCAGGGAGAGCAACGCGGGGGTACCCGGCGTGTGGGTCTTCCACGTGGGCAGCGTGGCCCCCCTGGATCACGTGGAACCGGGGGGCGGCGGGGAATCCGGCCCCGGTGTGCCGCAGAGCCCCGTGCATCACGGCCCCGGCACCGGCGACTACAACCGCGCGCTCTACAGCCGTGCCGACCACGCGTCCATGGAGCTGCAGGCGCAGCACGGCTCGGAGGCCACGTCACCGCATCCCGACCACGGACACCATGCACCGGGTATCGTCCCCGAGGGGCTGCCCGCATCCCCGGGGCAGGAACGGAGCCGCCGGCTGCATCCTGATGGAGATGGTGGTGCCCGGCAGAGCTACTCCGCCAACCCTTCTTCCTACAGCTCTGGGCATCACGGTGTCGGCGTGGAGGAAGATGTGCATTTTAACCCTGACGGTGAGTGGCCGCAGCCCCTCCGATGACCGAATGGGGATGTCTCGTGGCGGGTGGCTCCCTAAAAAAGGCCTCTTTGCTGGAAGCTCATCTTTTCCCGAGCAGCTGGGGCTGGAGCTAGTGTGGGCTGGCATCGCTCCTGCAAAGCTGCTGCCCTTCCAGCTCCTCTCTTCCCAGCCAAATCCTGCTGCCAAGGGGCTGCCGGAGCCATACGTCCCTGCCCGCTGGGTTTGTCGCTGCTCTACCTCACATTGCAAGGGAGGGAAGATCGAGGGGACGGTGTGGGACCAGGGTTGGCCCTGCCGCCCCCCCCCATCACCAAGCCAGCTGCGGAGCCGCCGTGGCACGTGCCTGGGGGGAGCAAAGCCCCATCCCCGTCCGGCTGTCTCCCAAAAATACGCAGGAACTCGATCTCTCGCCTTCTGTCAGATCTGCCTGAAATCAGGCAACAGGTTCAAACCCCTCAGCCTCCCCTATGCATCCCGGGCGGCTTTCTTGGGAACCGCTGCTGCCAGCTGGCCTGTCTCCCCGCGATGTTTTTGGGGCCGAGGAGGCAAGGTGGCCACCCCCCAGCTCCGTGAGGGGTGGCTTTGTCACCGTGTCCCCAACCCTTTCCCCTATGGCCCCAGTGTTCACCTACAGCGCGGCCAGCCAGGAGACGTGCGCCCGGCACCACGGGCGCTGCTCCCCGCACGCCTTCTGCACCGACTACGCCACCGGCATCTGCTGCCACTGCCGGGCCACCTACTACGGCAACGGACGGCAATGCCTGCCCGAAGGTACGCGGTTCGGGCGGCGGGGGGACGGGTACCCCCTGCCTGGGTGGCCGCTGCCAGGGGTGCCCGTCTCCCTGCCCAGGGGCCGTGCATCGCCTCAACGGGAAGGTGAGCGGGAGCCTGACGGTGGGAAGGGCGTCCGTCCGCTTCCAGGATGTCGACCTGCACGCTTACATCGTGGGCAGCGACGGCCGAGCCTACACGGCCATCAGCGGGGTGCCCCAGCCCGCTGCCCGTGCCCTCCTGCCCCTCCTGCCCATCGGCGGGTTCTTCGCCTGGCTCTTCGCCGTGGAGGAGCCTGGCTCCGAGAACGGCTTCAGCATCACCGGTAAGCGGGGAGGTGGGATGTGCCACCGAGTCCCGTTGCTCCGAGGGACACGGCTCCTGCTGGGGTGGCACTGGGAGGTGATGGGGGGTTCGGGGCATCCCCACGCCTCCTCCGATCACCTCCCTGGGTTCAGCTGGCTGTCACCTCCCTGCTGTGAGCCCTCGTGGGTGTGCTTTGGGGAGGTATTCCCTAAAAATCCTACAACCAAATGCGGCCTGTTTCCTTTTCCTGCCCAGGCGCCGAATTCACCCAGAGCCTGGAGGTGACCTTCCACCCCGGAGAGGAGACGGTCCACATCACTCAGACGGCCGAGGGGCTGGGGCCGGACAATTACTTAAGCCTGAAGACACACATCCAGGGCCAGGTGCCATTTCTCCCGGAGAACGTCACCGTCCACATCACTCCCTACAAGGAGCTCTACCACTACTCCAGCTCAGGTAAGAGCCCGTTCTCAGCCCCGGGGTTCGGTTTCTCGCACCCCACCGCGGTTCCCAACATCCGAGAGACATCGACGCTAAAGCTGCTTCTCCCCCATCCCCGGCGGGGGGGGATTTTCTCACCATCCGGCAGCTGTGACATCCTCCGCTCAGCGGGATTACGTCCTGGTGGCGGGGACCACCAACCAGACCTTGTCCTACCGCCTGCGCCAGAACATCACCTTCGCCGGCTGCCCGTACGCCCGCCTGCCCGCCCGGCAGCGGCTGAGCGTGGCACGTGCCTTCGCCCTCTACGACGGCCAGGAACACGTCCTGCGCTACGCCCTGGCCGCTCGCATCGGCTTGGCACCGGGTAAGCTCCAGCACCCACCCCGGGGGTGCCCACCCCAGGGTGCTGCCAGCCCTCGCCGGGGGATGCTGCTGTCTCCCGCCCGCTCCCAAAGCTGCAGCATGCTCGCTTTGCCCAAAAACAGCCAAAAGAGGTTTGGGTTTGTTTTTTTTTTCTGAGCAGCTTGAGCCGTAGCGCTTCTGGGATGTGGGGGGGGACTGCAGCGGGGGGTCACACTAGGTGCCACGGGTCCCTGCGTGGGATGAGGGTGCTGCGGCGCAGCGGTGATGCCTATGTCAGATATAAGTGGGAACGGTCGTTCCCCACTCCCCGTGTCTCCCAGGTCTTCCCCCCCCCCACTAACACCCCCCTTTGCCTGCAGACAATGCTGAGAATCCCTTGGTGAACCCGTGCCATGACAACACGCACGCGTGCGAGGCCACGGCGCGCTGCCAGCCCGGCGCGGGGATGGAGTACACGTGCGAGTGCGCGGCCGGGTACCGCACGGACGGACGGGGCTGCCGAGGTGAGCGGGGGCTGCAGGTGGGTGCGAGGGGGTGGTGGCGGGGGGGCTGGTGCCCCCCATCCATCCCCTATGGGGCACCATGGTGGCCGCTGCCGTTTGGGGTGCTGGGACGTGCCACAGCATCGCAGCACCCACGGTCTCAAGAGGTCCCGGAGCTGCACCAAGAATATGGGTGAATTGTGGGGGGGAACTGAGGCAGGGTGCTGGGGGCACCCGGGGAAGCGCTCCAGGAGCAATTGCGGGGATGGAGGAAGTGGTAGCCATGGTACAGGCAGCACGGGGCAGGTTATCCCCCTCCCCGGGCCAGGAGCAGCCAGATCCCAAAAATGGGGGTGTCCCACCACCGCCGGGGTGCCTGGCGTCTCTCCCTTCCTCTAGACATCGATGAGTGCGCGGGGGGCCTGAGCCAGTGCGGCCCCTTCACCGTCTGCCTGAACGTGCCGGGCAGCTACCGGTGCGAGTGCCGCGGCGGGTACCGGCCGGCGGAGGACGGGCAGGCGTGCGTGCGTAAGTGCCGGACCCGCAGTTCGGGGTCCCCCCGCTCCTGTGCCCCACGGGGCTCGCCCCCCCCCGCCACCCCCTCACCCTCCGTGTCCCCACAGCGTTGGCACCGGCGAGCAACCCCTGCGAGGACGGGACCCATCCCTGCGCGCCGGGGGACCGGGCACGCTGCCTGTCCCACGCTGGCGGCCATCCCACCTGCGAGTGCCTCCCCGGGTACGCCGGCGACGGCATCGACTGCTCCGGTACGGGGGAGCGGGAGGGACCATGGGGTGACCGTACCGGGCAGCCGCCGGGGTTCTCCATCCCTGCTGATCCCCATCCTCCCCGTGCACAGACGTGGATGAGTGTGCCGAAAACCCTTGCCACCCGGCCGCCGTCTGCTACAACACGCCAGGCTCCTTCTCCTGCCGGTGCCGGCCCGGCTACGAGGGCGATGGCTTCCAGTGCGCGCACGGTAAGGCTGCCCAGTTCGCCGCCATGCTGGTTTTGCCTGGGGTGCCTTCCTCCATCCTCACTCTGCTGTTGCTTTGGCTCTCCCGACGGCGGAAGGGAGCACGCAGCGGCTGACGCCCTGCCAGCACGAGCGGCTGTACCCACGGGCATCGCTGCCGGGACCCTCGCCCGTGGGCGACGGGCACGTGCCCCAGTGCGACGAGGAGGGTCGGTACCGGCCCCTGCAATGCCACGGCAGCACCGGGTACTGCTGGTGCGTGGATGCCGAAGGGCAGGAGATCGCCGGCACTCGGACGGCTCCGGGCAGCACGCCGCCTCGCTGCGGGACCCCAGGTCAGTGCTTGGGGGAGTGGCGGGGGGCGGGGTGCCATCCCCTCCCCATAGCACCCCAGTCCCGTGGTGCCCCTCCGGCATGCTTAGCATGGAGGGGCACCCACCAAGGAGAGGGGGACCCGGGGCTCCAGCAAAGCCCCGAGTTCCCCAAGCTTGCCCACGGGGTCCATCACGGGGGGGGTGACTGCCACCCTCCCTGTGCCAGAGCCCACAGAGCGGCCCCGCACCATGTGCGAACGCTGGCGGCAGAGCTTACTGGAGCACTACGGGGGCAGCCCCCGCAGCGACCAGTACGTGCCGCAGTGCGACGCCGGGGGAGACTTCACCCCGCTGCAGTGCCACGGGGACAGCGGGTACTGCTGGTGCGTGGACGAGAGTGGCAGGGAGATCCAGGGGACACGCTCGGAGCCTGGCAGCACCCCACCATGTAAGACCTCGGCACCCCAAGCGTGACACCCCTCTTGTCTAGCACAGCACAGCCTCCTGGTGCTGTACCCCGCTCCCGCTCGGGTGCAGAGCCGAGGGGCCGATGCTCCCCGAGCCATCTCTCTCCCTGTCGTTGTCTCCATCCCCGCCATTACGGCACCAGGTCTCCCCAGCGTCGCGCCGCCCAGCGTCCGGCCCTCGCCCCGGCCCGACGTGTCCCCACCGGCCACGGGGACCTTTCTGCTCTACGCTCAGGGACAGCAAATCGGCTACCTCCCCCTCAACGGCACGCGGTTGCAGAAGGAGGAGGCGAAGACCCTGCTCTCCCTCCATGTACAGTATCATCTCCAGCGCCGGGGCCGGGTGGGGGGGGGTGCGAGACCACCGGAGGGAGTGAGTTAGGGACGGGCTGAGGCTGCGACTCCGCGTTTCGCATCTCCCTGGACCACTCTTGTCTGAGCTGCGATGGTTTGAGGGGTCACTGCTTGAAGGTTGAGGGCTGCCTGGGTGCTGAGATGGAGGAAGAACGCTCTCACCTCTTCCTCCAGCTGTATCCCCCCTGTAGAGGGGCAGGTCACGGATAAGGGGCTGCCTGCAAAGAGCAGGCACATCTCTACTGCAAACTTGCCTTTTCCCTTCCTCGGACTCCTCTTGGAGCATGGCCACGTGCATCTCCAGCCAGGCCAGACCGAGGGAGAGGAACGCTAAAAGCTGGGCCGTGACCCTCCCTGCACCCTGGGGAACTGAAACACCTCGCCAAGAATTCCCTTTCCCCAGCCTGAAGGTCATTCCTCGGGCCGGCTTTGCTGTTGGAGCAGTCGCTCCTTGAGCCGAAGGGTTTTTTACACCCATCTGGACGTGGGTGTGTGCCTGCGACAGCTGGCCTAAAAAACCTCTGCTGCAGGGTTCAGCTGGGGGGGTGAGCGGTAGGAGCCCATCGGTGTTGGGTTTTGCTGGGGAAAAGGGATTTGAGCATCATTCCCCATTGTTGCACCTTGCAGAGCGCCCCGGGCAGCTCCCAATGCCGACTGGAGAGATAAGAGTGCTCACTGAGCCTCTCGGCCATGGTCCAGGCAGGATTTCACTCCATGTCCCTCTCCCAACCCTGGCAGGGCTCCATCGTGGTGGGGATCGACTACGACTGCCGGGAGAAGACGATCTATTGGACTGATGTGGCTGGCCGGACCATAAGCCGGGCGAGTCTGGAGCCAGGCGCTGAGCCGGAGACCGTTATCAGTTCAGGTGTGCTCCCATCACCGGTGACACTTGCCCAAAGCCACATCAGCGGGTCCAAGCCAAGTTTGTGCCCATCGCGGCGGCTCTGGGGCTGTCCTGCTTCGGGGGGGTCCTCCACCTGCGCTCACATCCCTTGGCTGTGGGTCGGGGGACCGTGATGGGTCCAGGAGCAGCGCGTCCCCAGCCGCTGACCACATCTGTCCCTCCGGCAGGGCTCATCAGCCCCGAGGGGCTGGCGGTGGACCACCTGCGCCGAGCCATGTTCTGGACCGACAGCGGCCTGGATAAGATCGAGAGAGCCCGGCTGGACGGCTCGGAGCGGCGGGTGCTCTTCGACACGGAGCTCGTCAACCCCCGGGCCATTGCGGTGGATCCCGTCCGAGGGTGAGCAGCAGCGTTTCCAGAGGGATTTGCAGGCAGGGCTTTGCAAGGTGCAAGAGTCGGACACATGCAGTGGTGCCAAGGCCGCATCCTGACCCTGGGAGCAGCTCTCCGACGTTGCACACCCCGTAGGAGGGATTGGCTCTGTTCCCTACCTCCTCTTTTATTTAATAATTCAGGATTTGGCTAAACCTGCTGTTCCAGTATCAGGATGTACATTATTTTTAAAAGCTTTGAAATGCGCCTGGCGTTTGAAAACACAAGCTGTGCCTCTAGGGTGCTGTTGCGATACAAAATGTGCTACTCCTAAGACTCGCCCTCATCTAAGAGCTGCAGTTTGGGTTGTAAACATGTTTGACATCATTCTAGTTTTCTTTTAAAGATTTTTTCAAATCAAATTAAGATTTATTTCAGACATTATTAAGGGGAAAACCAGGCCTCTCTGCTGACAAGAACCAGTAACAAAGAGAAAGCCTATCATCTCCTACCACTCCTTACTGTTGTGTGTCCTGTTTGTTCATTATACAATTATTTCCCAAGCAACCTTTATTGGACGGACTGGAATCGTGAAGCACCCAAAATCGAAACTTCCACTGTCAACGGAGCCAACAGGAGGGTCCTGGTGAATAAGGACATCGGCTTGCCCAACGGCCTGACGTTCGACCCCTTCTCCAAGCTGCTCTGTTGGGCAGACGCAGGTAACTTCACCGAGGACGGACCAGACTACGACAGACTAAGCCTCGAGGGGAAAACCAGCTCTATCTGTCTTTAGCCCATTGCTACCTGTGGGCTTCTCTGCCCCTTTCCACTGTCCTGCCCCAAAGGATTTGGTGTGACGGGGTCAAGGGGGGGCTCATGGCATGAGTTGCTTCTACATCCTTAGGCTGAGAAGCCGTTTCAAAATTTGGTGAATACAAAGAATACGTTTGGTGGGGGGTTTTTTGTGACCTAGTAACTGTCTTGTGTTTGAAAAGGAACAAAGCACCTGGAGTGCGTATTTCCTGATGGCGCAGGGCGGCGCATCATACAGAACAACCTCAACTACCCTTTCAGCATCATCAGTTATGCCAATCACTTCTACCACACGGACTGGAGACGGTAAGGAAAGAAAACCTGCTCCCTCCCGTGGCCCGGAATGCTGAGCTAGCAGTTCCTAGGGCTCCGCTCCCCTCAGCGGCCAGGAGCCAGCCTCCCCTACTCCCTGCCCCAGTCGTGCTAGCGAGCAGCTTGGAGGGGCTTTGAGCCAGAGGGAGGAAAAACAAACGCTGTCCCCAGCCTGCTCTCCGGTCCCGAGTCCTGGCACCTCACCAGAGCCCTCTCTTGGGTCTCCTGCAGTGCCACGTTCAGCAACTCCCGCTTGTAAATCTCAGCACAGGACAGTTGTTTAGAAACAGCCCCAGCTTCCTGGGAGGGACAGAAAGAGTGGTGGCTTTTTGCTGTTTTTTCTTTTCTTTAAATAAAACTTGGCACAAGTTTCTAAATCTAGATTAAGTCAAAGAAAAGATTCTGTCCTCAGTTGTTCCCTCTCCCCCACCCCCCAAGGCCTTCGGCCTCAGGAACTCGCCTCCATTCCCACTCCAGCTGGAAGCTCTCAAAACTTCAATCAAATCTCAGCAGATTACAACAAACACTTAAGTGCTTGCCACACTTGGAGGAGACTCTCAGGGAGATAAGCTCTCCTTGGAAGGCTGTCTCTGTGACTCTGCATCACCAAAGAGAAAGGCACTGAAGGAGCTGGATATAGATCTTATGGGGCAAATTTCTTTCCACTTGTTCTGCAGGTGTTCAGATCAATCCTATTAGCTGCCTCTGTTCTTAAATGCATGTAGGTGGGGGAAAAAACCCCAAGTTTCATAGATGAGTAAAGCACTTCTCCCCCTTTTATCACCAGGGACGGTGTGATAGCTATTGATAAAGAAACTGGCTCCTTTACTGATGAGTATCTTCCAGAGCAGCGATCACATCTCTATGGAATAACTGCAGTTTATCCTTACTGCCCTGGAGGTAAAACACACAACAAAATCCACCCCCTCTTGATTGTCTGACAGCTGTTATGTGCTTGACATGCTAAAGATATCCAATTCTTTATGCAGCAAGGAAATAGTAACTGCTACTTCGAGAAACATCAATCTTTGCACCCAAAAGAACTTCAGACCCAGAAAACTGTCACTGCATACAACTAAGGGGAGAAAGCCCTTAACCAAGGCCAATGAAGCGACCTACTTTCCTGCAAAAGATGATCAAGTATTTTTGAAGTTATACCTCAAGTCTTTACTACTGTATTTTTTTAAAAAGTGGAAAACATTGATATATGACAAAAAAGAATGGTCCTGTGAATCTTAGGCCATTACTCAAACTCTTGCCTATGCAAGCAAATTTAAAATGTAGCTTTCTTACTCAAATGTTTTATTTTATTGGAAGAAGAATGGATTAATTTTTAATAGTTTTGACAATCTGACCAACAGGTCCTTTTATCCAAAAAATAAGTGCCTATGGGGAGCTTTGCATGCAGTATCTTGCTGGGTCTAAGTAATCTACAGCCCTGAAGACAGAGACACTGTGTGCTCCAAAAGTGTGCAGAACAGTTACATGATATGGCAAAGGCATTGAAGTTTTTCCAGGAGAGAATTCTGTATTTTCACCACTGCCTCAATGCATGTCTTTTAGTATTTATATTAGAAGAATATGCTAGAATTGATCTGTTCATGCTTGTTGGTTCTTCTAAGTGCCTTCATAGACCTACCCAATGTAGACCAATACATGTTCAGAAATACCATTTATGTTGTAATGCTTCACTTTTTCTAGGTTACTTCAATAATTGAATAAAATGGTTGTTATAAGTTTCCCTTTGGATGTAAATATTTCAGTTGCAGGGTAGACTGTGGAGAAGCAGCAAGCAAGCCAGGAGCGAGCTGTTCATATGGCAGGACCTCAGCAAAAGAGGAATCTGCAGAGCCTTTATGTAACACTCCCTTCTCAACACAAAGCCAAACACAATGAAAAAGACGTATTTGCCAACTCAGAGTTAATCAGAACAATTTGTCTATTTTCCCCAACTTCATTTATTTAAAGAAAAATGGTAACTCATTAGAAGTCAGAATTCAATTTCCTGCTTTCTTTCAAAACAGTAAAGTAATACCATTTCAAACTGCATGCCAGAGTTGTACAGAGTTGTACGTAGTTCCTAATTGTACTAAGTACACAAGAGACTAAAAGCCTTTATCTGTTCATCTCCCAACTTTCCCCAGTCTGTGGTCCGTCTTGGGATCAGCAATAATCGCCTGAACTGCTACAATTGCTTCGTTAATTTTTGTTTGCAGCTCTCGGAGCTCCTCTATATGCAGCAGTCGGAGAATTTGGGCAGCTTCATTGAGAACAGCATCTGAGTGAGTTGCAGAAAGAGAAGTCATATCAGTCATTTTCATCTGACAGGAAGGTCTTAAGAAAAGCCTAATCTAAGTTAATGCTCTGCGCTTCATTCATGCTTGTGGTTTTCATACTTGAAATAGGAAACAACCTTCCCTGCTGCTAGAGAGGGACACGGTGCTCTGCAAAACCTCGCTCAGGCTTCCTGCAGCCCTCGCAGTAATCCACAGCCAAGTGGGGTCAGTATGAAGCATTTCAAGTAATAACTTAGGTGTACATGGGGCAAAAGTGAAGCCAGACTAGTGGAGTCCCAGGTCATCAGGCTATTGCTTACAAAATAATCTATCAGGTCATGCCAACTTGCGCTGCCTCCGATTAGCTTTTAGGTAAATTATGCAGCTAAAACACACAAAAGCAGCACAGAGGTCCTCTGCTGGTAGAAGCAAGATTTACAAGACAACAGTAGCGAGAAGCATTCCTTCCACTTGCAAACGTGGCTGCCATTAAAAGCTGTTATTTAAACATTACTCTAAAACAACATATTCCACAGCTAAGATTTATGCTTTTCTGTTCCAAGACAAAATGCTCAGGAGTGCTCGTAAATAACAAGCTAGGAGGGAGCAATTCTCTCCACCACAGGCTTTTTTACTGTACGCATTAGCTACGTATTTGACAGTAATATACTTTGTCATAAGTCAAACATCACTATTTAAAAGTAACATTAAGAGAACTGCTTACCTCCGGTGTCAAAACCAAGAATGTGCTTTTCTAAAGCAACAGGCAAACCCTTTAAAAAGAAAAAGCATGTTCAAATACAATTGGAAATGTCATTTTGCATGTTTGGAAAACAAAATCAAGTACTACAGCAGGTAACTCTAGAGGAGAGGACACTTGAGTTTTGCTTATATAGACATGTGACAACTTTGAAAAGTCATCATGCTTGATTGCACACAACTGCCTTTGTGTCCTGAAACATCAAAACCCAGAGTATCAATAAAGAAAACTCTTCATGCTTAATAATCCCCCTACTTGTCAAGCGAAACCCATTGGATACACAACTGCCCACATTCAATCCTTAAAAGGCTAACAACAGTACTGCGAGAGAACACCCAATCCAGCAACAACACTACCCGGACAAACAAAAAGCATGCACAAACTAGGCTTTCTGAGAAACTATTCCCTTCAAACAGCTGCTGTTTTCAAAGCACTGGATGATTTGAAGGAGTTGCAAAAATAAAGAAAATCAAGCTAGTTTTTCAAGCACTGAACTTCCAACTTCCATCAACATCCCCAGAAGTGTTTTCTCAAGTCTTAAGCTTAGGAATAAAGCTAAACATCCAATTTTCTAAACACTTGCTCTATTAAGACAGTACAAGGAAAAGTCTTATTAGTGGTCATTTATAAGCACTGCTCTCTTTCTCTTACTCTCTCCAGCTGTGGAGGAGCAGTCATGCTAAATACTCACTCACCATGTTTCAACATGCACATAAAATTAGATTTAAACAATGCAAATCTTAGAATTTGCTTTTACTACCTCTGGAACTTTTTTCAACATTTGCCTTGGCACATTTGCCAAATGCCTTGCATTTGGCACAACAAAAACATTCAAGTTCGATACCATTAGTTTCTACAACGATGGGGCTGTAAACCTTCTAAACAGTGAGGATTTGTTTCAAAGGCTTTTATATACACATAGAAAAACTCTGAGCTGATCAAAACACAAACTAAAGACAAAATGGTGACTGTAACTCATTAAAATTACCCCTCTTTCAGAAAGTGGTTCTTTTCCATGGCCTTTACAATAAAATGGATGTTCAACTGCAATCTTAAAAATACATCTCCATTGTTAAAATCTAACCTGCTCGTTGATAAGAATGCCACTTCAGACAGATTCCAGCAATATCAGACTTCATACATATACTTTTTAAGAAATCAGGTTTATACTTAAGGCTGCAAAGAGCTCATTGCCACCCTAGTGTGTTCTCAGAGCCACACGAGCAGCAAAACATTGATTCAGCCGGTTCTTTGTGGATGAATTCCCCACAGCCACTTCAGGCACCCCCAATGCTGAGTGACCACAGTGGCAGCTTCAGAAGTTGTATTTGAGACACCCTGGTAGCACAGCATTACCCTCCCCGTCTTCCTCCCACCCCCCAGTATGTTAGCTCCTTTTTGGCTGGTGGAAGCTGTCTTTAACAGAGCAGTAGACTGGCCTTTCCCAAGCCCCACAGCCCATAGCAGCAGTCTCACAGCAGGCGCTGGGCTGTACAGGCACCCACTGCTGCTACAACTACAACAAGCACATGCTCATTTGCACAGCAGCTTCAAACAGGGAATGAAATGAAGAGCACCTTTAAATCTGTAACTACACAGACTACTTCATCTCACAGCATCATTCCCCAAAAATATAATTTGAAATTGCTGCACAAAACACTTGTAATGGACCTGACCACTGCAACCATCTCCCCTGTAACTGGAAGCGTCAACAGTAAAGCTCAATTCCCGGGGAGTGAGAGGAAAAAAAAGTTTCTGGATTTCGGAGTAGGGGTAAAATGTACCCACTTTGTTGTGCTTTCAACTATGCCCCAGGTATAGCCTTTGGGAGCATCCTTAAAGTGATCCTGAAGGGCATTTGTTGTACTTGATCCTACCTAGGATACACTCATCAGGCAAGGAAAGCCCAGAAGGACAGCCGATGAATCCGCTGGTATAAATCTAAATCCTGTCTAGACACCGAGCACATTGAATTGCCAGCCATTCAAAATATAATCTAAAAAAGAAAAGTGTCGCGTCTTACCTTGAAAACCGTACCTTGACAAACCAACAAATAAATCTCATTTTATTTGATACATTTAAACCACAAGTGCAGCAGTGTAAGCTTCCTCAGCATAGTCCTCATACATATCCTTCTGTCAGAGAACATTTCTGTATCTATTTTATCTTTTCCCCACTCTACCTTGATATTGTCAAGAATGCAACTCATGACATTTTGTATATTAAGTCATCCACCATGCAGGAGACATTTATAACCTGTTGCCAAGCACAAGGCTTAATATACAAAGTGTCAGTGGCTAGTATTTTGACCATTAGCAAGCCAGCCAAAATCAGAAGCAGAGGTTTATTTTTCCTCTCCTTCTATCCTGCAACCCAGCTATCCCCTCTGCTTTTAAGGTATTTTCTTCATTCATCTGGTACATTACAATGTTGATGATCACTGTTGGCATAGATAAAGCTGTTTTCCTGCCTCCAATGTGCTCCCTTTTCTCCACCCCACTTGAAATTTAGCACCCCTAATGAGAATACACTCCCAATGCCATATATCACATTCAGTGACATGCTGACATTTCAACCTCAGACTTGACCACACTTTGAGAACCTATCAAATATGAAGAACACTTTGTCATGAAAAAAATTCACTGTTCTTCACAGAAGCTAGTTCTGCCAAACACACAGAAAACCCCATTTTGATCCCTGCATGTCAGCTGCACAGCTATGTAAACAACAGCTAAAAGCAGCTTTTTATTAACATTAGTTACTGAACCTAAAATGACTACAGCGGTCTCAGCTGCTTTCGTATTTTCCTGCTCTTTTAATCGTTTTATGGATATACAAGACCAAAGCTTTGATTTACTGTTCCAACGCTTCTGGCACTTACTGCACTGCAACTCAGAGCACCTGCAATTGCCACTTAGTAAACACCGTAAGCAGTGTTATGATAATAAATAAAGCCTGGACTGTTCTGAGCAGCTGCCAGAAAAGATGAAGGGACTTGCGCTCTTTGACCAGATCCAGTCACTTTAGCAGGGACACTTCTCAACATACACCTGCAGGGCAGGAGAGGCTGCCTTCCTTAGCTGTGCCCAAGACCCAGTGCCAGCAGCTGCTGCGCCAAATGCCAGAGAGAAGAACTGGAGAACTGCGATGTTTAAGAACCGCCAATCTGAAAAACCACAGTCATCCCCTGGAACATCTTACAAACACGACAGCTTGTGGTTAGAAAATAATTCTGCAAAATCTGAGGTTTAAGTGCAGAAGTTTCCTTCACCACCTCTTTTTGGGGAAGGGGGTGAGGGGGAGGAAGGAGTTGGATGTCCAACATCCCCGCCCTCAAACACGTACGAGGTGTACGTATGAAGCAAAACACTCCATACAAGGAAAGTTTCAACCTGTTTACACAGCCAATGCTGCGAATTCCAAGGAAAAGCCAGGTCATACATTTCTTCTCATACTGTAGACATGCTGCACTGAACAGTAGGGGTAACCTCTAGCAAATAACTTAAGATAGGGGAACAGCTATTTACATGATATATCACACAGGTACATATGTTTGTATTCATCTGAAACAAAAAGAGCTCTCCATAATCCTCTGGGTCTTGCAGAATCAGGACAGCGAAGATAAAGCAAGTTTCCACCACGCTCCTAAACGAAGTGTTTAAACAGAACTGGTTTTGACTGAGATGGCAGACATTTACACTTACACTTCTTTACTTGATATGGAATAATTAACACTAGACTCATGCAGCATATATACAAACCTCCTTGGACTGACTGGCCTTCGCTATGGCGTCCTGTGTCAAGCGCTCTTGAACCAAAATGCGAATTGCCTAGAGGAAACATTTAAAGGTGAGAGTAATTAATTTATGTCTTGATGTATTTCTCGGCAATTCTAAGGGAAAAGGAGCCAACATTATAACCTAGCATAACCTCAAACCCACAGCTTTGTGAAAGACTTTTTGGAAAACTCTTTCAGTCCTTAAATCTTTTCAAATAGCGTTATTCTTTGCAAGTAGTATCTTACACAGGTGTAGTCTCTTTGGCCGCAGGAAGGCAGCTTAACCAGAAGAGACAAGGACATTAAACTTAATTTCTGCCACTACTGGGCCAGAAACTGCAAGGTACTAGGAACAGTACAGCAGCACCATTTTTATTTTTCTGAGATTGCACATCTTTAATGCCGCTGCAATACAGCTTCTTCAGGAAGGAAATCCTGCTATCAGCACCTTTTAGTAGGTGCTGAACCATCTCCCACATGCAGAGAAACCTGGAGCAACGCTACCCACCCAGGTTTTAAAAAGACTGAGAACAGAAAGGAATTATTCTTAGACACAGGAACAAGAACAGCCTCAATTTTAACAATCCTGCTGCTCATCTGTTTCTACTGGCTCCAGCACATAGCATGAAATCAGATCAGAGATATCAGTTACTGATACCTACAGCTGTAAATGCCTCTAAAAATAACTGAATGAATACCATGCAGGCAGACTTCCACCAGAAAGAACTGGGTCTGTCAAACACATTCCTCAGACTTTTCCTGATGAGCAGCCAAATGTGACAGAAGCAGTCTTAGTGCTTCATGTCTCTCCCCAAAGATTTCTCCCAGTTTTGGTCATGATTAAAGTTGAAATGGTACTAGAAAGTTGCCACTGAATACTTCTAGAAATCTTTCTAACTGAAGGGAGTAGCCTGGACAAAAGAGTGATTTGATGAGGAGTTTAACTTTAAATTCCAGCAGTGAAACCAGACCTTGTATAAGAAAATTTTGAGTGCCTTTTGCATCAGAAAAAGGATATCCAACTGTGATACACAGATGCTTTCTGATCAACTTGCCAGATTTAAATTAATAAAATGGGACTCCAAATATCTCTCTGCTCACTCTGGCCAATGTCTGGCCAGATGTCGGTGGCACACTTGCACAGTTTAGCCTTCCCTAAGCATCCACTCCTGAGTGTCGAAGCCTGAATAGGGATCATAATTCTCCACATGCACACTGCAAACCTGCTTACTGTGGTGTAGAATTAATGAGTTTCACTGACGCATTCTAATGCTATCATAGCCTGAAAGCCAGCATTGCTGTTGTTCATGTAACATGAATTGCCATTGCAGGAATCTATTCTCACTGTAATTAAAAGCAAGAAAATTCAGGCTGGTGGTTTTGTCCAACCTCTTCTGTCTGAAAATAGTGAGACTAGAAATGTAGAAATAGTGACAGAAATGTAAATGTATTTATGCAGAAAACACATTCTGCTATCTCTTCGAGTTCCTGGTACCAAATCAGATGAACCCAGAAAAAGTTTGCTAGCCTCGAGACAATCCTGTAAGAAGACCTGAAGGAAGTCTGCCTAATAACAGCTGAGCTCATGCTGCAGATCCTCAACATCGCCATTCACAGGGTTTCTTCTCTCTCTACCTGATATCCCTTTTCACTGATTTTTGTAGGGTTTTGGGTTGGGTTTTTTTGTAGGGGTTTGATATAAGAGATCTCTACCGCGCTTTAAAGATTGACGAAGAGTCCGAAAGCTATTGGGAAGGCAAAGGAGGATACCATACTGGAGAGAATGAGAAAGTAGTTGATGGGATAACTGCAGGCCGTCATTTCCTTATGAAACCAGGCTAGCATGATAATACTGTTTAAGTATACCAGTTATAGATTTACACACACTATATAAACTTCAATACCCACAGCATTTAGTTCCTCCAAAATAAGTTTAGCAAATATCACAGCTACTGTAATGAATGTACCTTATTGTTTTTTTCAGTGAAATGAGTTTATTTTGGTGCCAAGCAAAACTAAGCTTATTTCCATACTATGACACTATCAGGTAGGAACTCAGGATTGCTACAGTCTCAGTAAATACAGTACTTCAAAAATACAGTACAGGTTCGACCCAAAACAGATAACTACAGAGATCTGCCAGTAAGTCACAAATTTTCCCAAAGTCATAAAAAAGGTGCTTTAGAAAATCAGTTAGCCTATTTACTGCATTTAAAAGTCGTGATTAGTTGTCAAGACTAAACTAAACTGACTTCAGTAATGACAAGGAGTAAACAGTTCACAGGACCAAAAGGAGGAGGAAGCTTTTAACTGTGGCCCCTCCCTAGGATGTTTTGCTTTAAAACATCCTCTGCATCACTTAGCCTCTATGTTTTCAAATTTCTCTTAATTTCTAGCACTGGAATACAATCTTCTCCTTTGAGTGTGTTCCTCAGCATTTCTGAGGTTCATTAAAAACACATAAAGCAGTACTTCAGCTAACCTAGAGCACTTCAAATTCTGAACAGTTCTCAGTGTTGGAATTCCAGGAACTCAGCCACAATTGAACTGTTTACCAAGTTAATTATCCCTGCATTAATTTCCATAACTTATATTCTGTGTTCTTATCTGCTTGAAAAGACACACACAGGATGAGTTTTACTTTCTACTTGTGCCTAAAAATTCATAGTTATCAATAACTCTGCACCACAAGCTATTACACTGGGGGAAAGGAGGAAGAAAGGAGGTCTGAAAACAGTGAAACTCACCTTAAGCATTACCAAGTAATCATCATGTCGCTGAATTTGAAGCAGATTAGCTAAAGCCATCACTCCAGCCTTAAAATCAGGATTATTCACTGTAAAATAATCATCACCATTAAATATATATGCTAGTTTAACTGGCTCCAGAAGACAGAATTGGCTTCCTAATTCAATGATATTGGATTTCTCTCAAGGATGGGCAAGGCTGCGGATACACAGCAATGAGCAACCACTTAGTCTGGCTACAAGGCGATCAAAGTGTGCACTGTGCCTTCTAACTAGGTTGCAAAACACCATCCAAGCACAAACAGCATTGTTTTCAATGCCAAACACATTGTGTACGTCCTACAGCACAGGAAACCTGTGTTGAGTCTTTGAAAATAAAACCAGTTACATGAAGGTATTCTCTTTTATATACCCTTCTACCACTGCAGAGCAGAACTGTACTTGCTGGGTGAGGGTAGGACCAATTCCTAGCTGTCTTTTTGTAAAAGGAGCAACGAGAGAAGACTTGGGGGATTTAGGGCTAATTTTAGTAGCTATTTTCCACCACTTCCATTTATTGTGAATGTGCCTAGCAGTCAAGAAAATTACAGCTGGGGAAGACTGAGCCAACACGTAATACGTGACGGTACTGAAGTTAACGGTTTGCCATCATGTTTCCTTAAGCTTTTTTTTTTTTTAAAAGATATGTTAAGAGCCTATAGTCAAAACGTATCTTGCTATTTCACCCTGACCCACAGTAAGGACTATGTCTTACAGAGCTCTCTGCAAAGCTGTTAAGGTAAACACCCTTCAGCTGCTTCCTCACTGCCTGGTAAGAGCCCTCCCAACTTACTCATATCTGATCAAGTCTCCGGGCATCTCATTCTGCTGCAAAATATTCTCCCCTCTGCCCTTCCCCTTTTTCCTAACAGGAAAAGTTCTGCATCAGTGCACATCCAGACACCTGCAATTCACATGGAGCAGTTCCTCTTTCCTTTAGTAGGAATGCAGCCAAGGGCAAAGAACTCAAAATAACTCTCAAAACACTGTTCACAGAGAGGCAGTTTCAGCCAGCAGTAATAGAATATATGAACTCTGCATTCCTAAAGATTTAAATGGGGCTTTAAAAAGTTGTACGCATTACAGGATTATAACAACTTAAAATCTGAAGAACACCATACAGGCCGTGGAACACATTCACATATGACGCATCCATACAGTAGGTTGCTGCACACTTACCATCCAAGTTAATCAGCGGTTCTGCATTTTTTGCTGTATTGTCAGTGTTTTTAGCACCATCCGGGGTAGAATCCTTATACTTATCAGCTGTTAAAGAAGCAAACGTGAACACCATTAGAGCTAATGACAAAAGGTTTAGAGCCAAGCTGTAGTTTGCGATAGCTGTATGTTTGGGTTGTGGTAATTGCCCAAGAGCCTTCTGGGCTTATACGCTAATGTTCTGGGCTCCCTACTAAGGTCCCCAAAGGCTGGCATTCTAGTGAGCTACCCTAACAGCTCCCATCTGCAGAGAGCTCATGTGCTATCCAAAGCAGCATCAGAGCATGCTCCACACCTACGTAGCGCATTACGTTCTTGATTAAGGCTCTTCCTTCAGTCTTTATCCCAGAAGGCTGAACAAGCTGTACCTTACAGTTCTACTGCTCTTAAAATCCATCAGTTCAACTAGCATTGGCCCTCTGCCTCAATCAGCAGCACATGCAGAGCTCAAGAACTACAGATTGAAGTTGGTTCTGATCAGCGAGTAAAACATTTCCAGTGAAGGCTTTGTTTTATAAAGACTGCAGCATTCATCTACAATCCACACAGGGGTTTTTCAAGCCTTTTGAGGATGGGACCTCCTGGCTCCTCCATCTTCATGTACCCCCGAGTCACAGGCAGCTCACTTTCTCCATCATGAGGGACTGAGAACCAGCTCTACAGATTGCAGATATGTATATCCCATCCCTGCCTTGGGCAGAGCTCAGCCCTGCAGGAATTCAAGACAACAGAAAACAGTACTTTGGCTATTATTACGTTTGCCACCAGTAATTACATTTGTATCTACTATAAGGAAATGAAAATGCTGCTGACTGTTGAGATTTAACTCAACTTTTTCATAACCTTGCCCTAGTTCCCAAGGGTTCCGGATCTACTCCCTGTGAAACAAGGGTCTAAGAATAACTTATTTGAATAAATGTAGTACTAAAGAAAATGCATTTAATACACTTTAGAGTAAGTTCTCATAAAGGCAAACCCACAGGGAGAAGGGTATAAATACATACAATGTGCTTTGCTATATTCAGAAATAAAGTAATAAATGCAAGTAAGCTACTGCACTGTCCCACAGGAGCTGATGAGAAACAGTTCACGTCTGAATATGGTGCAAAACCAAGCAGATGAAATTGTATTTTCATTTTTTAAAGAAAACAATATATACTTTTGACATTATCTTAATCTGACGAATACTTCATAAAATTAAACAGAAAAACCACACTTCCCTATCATTTTGAAATATTAAATGTATTCACCCATACCATTATCTCCGTACTCGAGCCTAACCGCTAAGCCGAGAAGCCAGTCCACTGTTTCTTGTCGTTCTTGTATTTTGAAAGGACAGTTTACATCTTTCATATACTGCAGAGTAGAAAGAGAAGAAAACAAATAGATGTTATTGACCTGTAGGAATTAGCTAGGAGCACAGAACTGTTTTGTAAACAGTCACTTTCCCACAGACCTTACAGTTGTTAGAAGACAGTTATTAAGAAGAAGCATTATTGTGAAATGTTCTGCTGTGGCATCTGATCCATCCGAGGCATTTTAGAGCACTCCAATCCACTGCTAACTCAAGGCTGCCATTTAGTAATGGCACCTGCTTTTTAATGAATGTTACTCATGTTATTCATTGTCAGACTGCAACCAGAGAAACCAAAATACCCCTTTCTTTGCTCTCTGTTCATTTTACACAGTAGAGTGGAGGCAAGGGAAAGGAGAAGGACAGAGAACGAATTACAGCAAAAACTTCCCATCTGAAGCAGGAAGGAGGAGCAATGCTACCTAAGGCTTTCACAATACTGATATCAGAAGATTCCGAGGGGCAGCAGAAGTAATTTTCCCTTTCTTAGGGATTGCGTACAACAAGAGAGGATGAAATGGAGCTGGGACACTGTCTCTGCTCTTCTGAAGCCATAACACAGGACCCAGCCCAGCCTGCTGCCAAGAATCCCAAAGTCCAGGACATAGTCACATTCTGCTGTGCCCCTTTGCTGGAGGGAGAGAAGTGCCACACAGCCTCTACTCCAGCAGCAGCATGGAGGGAAAGGGCACCAGGGGCTGGAGAGCACTAGCAGGCAGGGATCCCCTGGCAGGCACACAGAGAAGGACAGTCTGGCCAAGCCAAGAAAGGTACCACCAATACCACAACAGTGCCAGTAAATTCTAATAGCACGTACATTTATGTACATGATATTAGAATGCTTGAGGCTTCCCCCTGCAAAGCATGAGCACTGCAACTACAGTCCTCCTGGGCAGTGAGCAAGGCAAGTGGTTCCAGGGGAAAAAAACTGAGATGAATGGGCACTGAGCGTTATGGAGCAGCATTTTCAGCTCATCGCGGGGCTGTTTGGAGAGAAAGGAAATGGGAACCAAGAGGAAAAGCTCAACAGCCCTGTGGTGACTCAAAACACTCGCGAGCACTCAAAACATCACTTGCAAAACAAAGGCTGCTTGCCATGCTTTGCACTAGCAGTGGAAAATCATCTATCTGAAATAACAAAGACGTGCGGAGACGAACTGCAGTAGCTTTCTGCCACATGCTTCCAAAGCCTGCATTAGCATAATCCATTTTCCTTTTGGTACATAAGAATCATTAATACAGACAAAGCTATGTATTTGTAGTCAAATCTTCCTTCTACTTTAAGAGCTGAATCAAATCAGGCAAAAAACAGATTAGGATGGATATCCAGCCTATTGCAAGAACAAAGCTGAGTGAAAATTATGTACAAACAGTTCTACCATCTTAAGTCCTACAGTTTGGCTTCAATAATACATTTCAATTCCTAGAAATGTAAAACTTCAGAGACAGGACAAATATTTAGAGTCATTCACATTCAGCAACTAGAGCAGCTGTTAATTGTCATTTACATCGTCATTTAAAATTGTGTTTGAAACTATGAAATACCTTTTCAAACGATTTGGGCCAGTCATCGCTGTGTATGTTTCTTAAATTCCCTCGGTCTTCAATCTTGTAATGTCTGATTTTCTGGTCTTCGAGCCAGACAATAAAATTTCTGAATTCTGTTTCATCTGTCGGGAGAAGTAAACAAAGCAAGAATTAACTGATATCTTAAGAGCAAAAGCAAGCCTTTAAGTTTTGATCCAATTCATAAAAACAGTGGTGCCCCTGAGCCCCTTCACATTTTACCATAAAGACAGACACATCTAACACTAAAATCACGTATTCCAGGATAACATCTGACCAAAACTCAACACTGAGTGTTCTTCATTTTTCCAGTTACTTCGAATTGGCTATGGCTGACCGACTACACGAAAAGACACCAACCAACAGATTGTTTCTGTTGGGAACCCAGTTATAGCCTACTGAGTGAAGACAGAAAGGTGAAACAATGGTAGAGAAATTCAGTTCCTAACCCCGTTATCTGGACAAACACGTTACATGTAGCAGTAACCCCCCCCATCTCTTCCAAAGAGCAACACACACATCTCGTGACTGTGCAAAGACATTTTCTTCCTTCACTGTTGACTCAACTCTTCTTGGTTGTTGACCCAACATCTCATTATTTGGAAGCTGGAATTCCACAATACACAGACTGAAGTCCAAACAAAAATATTCGTACTGGACAAAGCAATTAGCCTGCACCTGCGATTTAGTGACAGAATTCATTTCTGGACACAGCAGATCACAGCTGTAGGGTATCACTGGCCCCTCAAAAACCAGCTGGGATATTTTGGCTTTGGATGAGCTTTAATATCCCAAGTCAATGAATTTAATATCTTCCTGCATCTCAGAGTGGGGTAAGAACATAATTTTCCCTATCAGGGACAAGAATGATACTTCTGCTTCTCAAAAGAATCTTCTAAGAGATAGAAGTACCTTACTTCTATCAAATGTGATCTAAGAAACAGAGACATGGTCACAACACATGCGAAGGAAAGTTTTCAGTAAGACCTTTTAACACTTCTACACTGACAAAATGAACCTTAAAGAAAAAAGGAACGTTAACGGCAAAGG